GAAATTTAAAAATTTTGCATGTGCCTCATTTTGTGGCTTTTTGCACTGCAGTGTTTGTCAGACAGTGTCTAGCTTAGGTCCATCATTCCCTTAGAAATGAATGAATGAGTGAATGAATGAGACAAACTGTATACTTTCCTGAACTTTGAGGAAGGAATCAAACAAACTTAGGGTATGATAGAAACTTCTTACAATTCAAGCCAATCTTCTCATTCTGTAGTCTTTTTGAGTACCAGAGAAGTTTGAATGCTTTATGTGGTACCTACTGAATAGAGACTGGAGAGCAAGGTGTTGATTTAATACCAGCATTTCCTCTGTCATTAACACTGGAAAAGGACGTGGTGAGGACACCAAAAATATCCAGGCACAAATACCCCAGATTCTAGAGGATCATCTACTATACTGTAGAGCTGTTTCAGCTAGTATGATTTCAATGAGTTAGCTCTTTGCAACTGACCAGAACTGACCAAGATAGACACCTGGGCTGACCACAGTCTCACATAGGAGAGACCACACTGGGCTGAGCACGGAGGTCCAGGATGGACCCCTTTGGACAATGGGCCATTGTGACATCATCAGTGATGGTTCCCAGCATGGTTTCCCACTGCTGGCACTCCAGTCTCAGCTGTTACTGCAAGTCCATACCTCTACCATGAGTGTGGAGCAGCTAAAATCAACAGATCCACATGTCCCTTGAGGTGACACACTGGCTCTGGTGAATATTCCCATTTTCCCATTTAGAAGGTGATGACCCACTGGAATACTACTTTTGTGGCTTTTTGGCATAAAGAGGGCAATGGTGCCCATTTTCTTGTCCTTGAGGTTTATCTGTTTGTCATGATTAAGGGTTCATTTTCAAATGGTTCAGAATGTGAGGGAAAGAGTCCCAGGCAGTTATTGTTTCTTAGACTTCAGTGGGTAGTGTTTATCAGGGAGGGGAGAGCCAAAAGGCTTCCACTTCTTTGCCGATTTTAATGATTTTGGCATTAACTGGGGACTATGGCTCTTAGGTTAGCCTTCCTGCAGCTACACCAGGGCCCAACCCTGCCCCTGAGGTCTGATCTTCTCTGCTTCAGCCTTTAAAAAATTATAATTCTGGATTGATAAGATCTAAATGTGATGTTTTACTCTAAAAAAGGTTGCATTGGTCACTCTCATTTACTCATGCATATTTATAAATAGGCAAGCTTGAATTCAATAAGCACATTTATGTAAATGTTGAGTAAAATTGAGTCCACCCAAGTTAAGTGTGGGAGGGTGGTGGCAGTGCATCCCAGACTAGTGCCTTTGAACTGTAATTATGTATACATAGTTACCCTGAAGGCTTAATTTTAGCTAGATGAACTACGCAGAAATGTTAGCAATCTGTCTTCTCAGATTACTTTTGCTCTTTCTCCTTGCTGAAAGATTTTAAATGTATGGAATCCTTGGTTTTACATGTTTGTTTAAACAACTGCAACAATTTATCAGCAAATATATCTCAACATGAATGTTTAAGCATCTGAGGCAACAGTTATTTTCAAATAGTTGCATGTTTCACTTTGAAAAATTATACTGTCTACAAATACACTAAGTTGTCTATGTAGCTGCAGGTATACAGTGAATATATGTGTATGAGCTTTCTATGTGCATACATACACAAACAGAATGAGAAAGGATGTTGGATTTCAGCTACATGTTTCCATATTGTTTCTTAAGGTATCGAAGACTCACTGTAGAAAAACAATCTTTACAAAGTCTATACTTTAAAAAAAAACCTCAAAGTCTAAAAAAAATTTAGAGCCTGAATTTAAATATTTGAAATCTTGCAACAAAAAAATATATGAATATATGATATTCTTTAGTCAAATATTTATGTTTTATCTACAGGACTTTTCCATTTTGCTCAGGACAATTTTAACAAATGTTCCTCTCACTCAATAATGGTGATGAAGAGAGTAATAATTCTGCATTTCACATTCAATACTGTAGTTTGGAAGTACAGTAATGGGTACAATTGCTCTTACATTTGCCATCTGACTATATGATATAACATGCATCTGCCAAGCAGGACAAACACTCCATTACAATTACAAACAATAGAGTCACAGTCCTAAGGCAGATCGACAGACATGAGTTAGACATCTTTCTTTGTTTTAATTTATACAACTATTATTGTGTGGCTCCTGTCTATGTCACATATGTCAGGCACTCACTTTGACACAAAACTAAAAGATGTGTGCACCTGGATCTCTGGCCTGGAGCAGAGCACAGTCTGGCAGGGGGGTTGGTCATGTAGGCAAGTGATTATCATATGACGTCCTAAGTATAACAGAAATGTATGCAAGGTGTTACAGAAGTACAGAAGGAGAAACATGCTTAACTATTGGAATCCAGGGATGAGTTCAGGAGACAATCATAGGCAAGATGGTCTTTGAGTTGATGAGGTCTTGGTAAGCAGCAATACAGTGTGGGAATTGAGAGGATAGACTCTGTAGCCAGACTATCGGGTTTGAATCCCAGCTCCAGTACACGCTATTTAACTTCTCTGTGCTTGCTTCCTCCCTGTAGGAGGGCATAATCACTGGGCATAGCTCATACGGTTGGAGTGAAGTTTATGTGAGTTAGTATGTGCCATGGGTTTAGAACAGAGCATGGGACACAGACTCAGTCAGTGTTAGCTTGTATGCCAGGGAGAGCAGAATGAAAGCAAGCAAGGAGACATAAAGGAGTATAGCTGGTTTGGCTTGTTAAAACTGAAATATGAGGAATATTTGTGTGGAAGGGGTGGAAAATGACAGGCTGAGTGGACAGATTATAGAGAGAGAACCTTATAAGACACATCCAAGAAGTTCGTGTTTGTGGAGCTCCTGGACAATTTTAAGGAACAAATTCAGATTTATATTACAGAAAGACAACTCTGGAGCTGTGGAGAAGGAGGAGAGGTGAGATGATTTAAGAGGTTACTGATGAGAAGAGATAAAGTCCTGGCTGAAGGATGGAGGGTTGAGTGCAGATTGAGAAGTTATGTAAGAGGTAAAATTGATGAGACTTGGTACCCAATTAGATTAAGGAGGATGAGGTAAAAGGAGTTGTGGATGACTCTTACTCTAGTTTGGGTGATTTGGTAAAAAGACAGGAGGAAAAGTGGGCTTAGGGATAAGGTTTTGGATTTGTCAAGATTGATGGGCCAGGCCTGTGCATGACCGAAATTAGTGTTTAGGTCTACCATTCAGTAGCTGGAAATCCTCAGGATATGGGTAGCAGTTGACATGGTGGAAATGTGAGTGATGGCATGACACAGGCTGTACATAGGAGGAGATTCAGGGATGATTCTGGAAGGCCCAGCATTTAAGAGCCAAAGAGAGCTGAAACAGCAAAGAAGAGTGATCACAGAGGAGGGAGGAAAAGTAGAAGAAAGTGGAATCATGGAAAATGATGGAAAGGAAATTCAAGGAGGAAGTGTTTAAATGGAGGAGAGAGGTCAAGTAAAATGAGAACTAAGAACTGCTTACTGGAGATGGTGATTAGGAAAAAGGGTTAAGGAAACCCATGAGAAGGAAACCCTCAGTGAAGCCCAACAGTGTGGGGAAACAGGTAGAAAGATCCTCTTAAGACCTTAGATGTTAGTTACTATTTCAGATCAAATGCTAGGTGAGCTGCTGGAGAACACCCATAGATGGTGGTTCAGCCTCAGGCCTGCTCCATGAGGCAGATCTGGCCTTTCCTCACAGAGCTGTTTTCCCAGAGTCCAGCAAGGAGCTTGGCACAGTGGTATGTGCACACTAAAGGCTGGTCTGTAGTGACCACACATCTGTATTGGTAGAGTCCTGGAGCTCCTGATGTATAGATGGCTCCGGGAAGTGTTGAGAAGCCTCAGGAGTTGCCAAAGAAGGTTTGTGGCCTTGATAAGTGAAGTCACAGAATTGATCTGGTAGCTTGTGCCTGTATTGGCGGCAAATGGGTGTTGGTGATGATGGTGATAACAGGCTGGCTTCGGGTTGGTTCTGCTCTGATGCAAACTCTTGGCTCTGACTTAGATGTGATTTTTCTAATTAGTTTTATCATCTATTTTCTTATTTCCTTCATGTGTGCAAGTGTCTTATCTCTCCAAATGGGTGGTCCATTTAAGGGCAGGGACCATTCCAAAGGGTGTTTTTGTACTTCCTGAAGCACATTCTTGTCCACTTGACACCCAAATCAGAATCCTGGTGCCCTCAGGCTCACCAGACATAGAGCAAAAAATTGGTCAAGCCTGGACTGTCCACCCCAGCTGATACCACCGTCAGCGAAAAAAATGTTCCATAGTTATTTACTGAAACTTACCCTAGGAAGGCTGAACTGAGTATTTAGAGCAAGCAGGAGGCGCTGACACTGCAACTTCACCCACCCACGGTGTGCCTGCGTGGGGCCTTGAATGCCCAGTCCTCCTCCTGAGAACTCTAGGGCTATCCCACTGGTCTCCACGCGGACACTTAGGTCTGGGAAGAGCTTGTGCCACGCTCTAAGGGGCATCAACGGCTCCCACATGGCTAAAGTCTCCTCTGGCATGTCCACGTCGGACATCGGGGACCTGATGCAGTCCCGACACTGCAACAGGAGGGAAAAAAACAAAATACGAAGGTGGAAGTGTTTTCACTATTTTCTTCTTTTTTTTTTTTTTTGGATTGATGGGGAGGAGTGATTTGGGACGGTTCTAGAGCCTCAGTCCTATCCCTTCCAGTCACCCTCAGCTGCTCTTTACTGGCCACCGCTCATCCCCTCCTCGAGCCTGTGTAGACACGACCGGCGCCGTCCGACAGCAGAACGAGCGCGTAGGGAGCGGAGCGGCTGTCCCCGGCCCCCCACCCCGCCGGACACCGCCAGGCGCAGCGGGAGGATGATGTCGGCTCGAGGAGGGCCCGCGGCACCCCCCACCGCCGCGCGGTCCCCTGCCCGGGGCACCCCCCGCGCCCGGGGAAGCCCCGCGCAGGGCGCCGACAGCCGGTCCGGGCCCCTCCGCCTCCCGAGGCCCGGAGCGGCCTCCTCGGGCCGCGCCGGGTCCGCCCCGCACTGCGCATGAGCGGGAGCCCGGCGAGCCCGTGAGAGGAGCCGCCGCCGCCGCCGCCGTCCATTCGCTGCGGAGCCGGAGGAGGAGGGGAGAGGCCTGGAGGACACCAACATGGTGAGGCACTGCGGCCGCCCGCCGCCCGCCCGCCCGCCGGCTGGGGCCGTGCACCCCCGGCCCGCCACCCGTCGCCCCGCGGCGACCCTGCCGCCCGAGCCCCGGCCCGCGGCCTCCGTCCAGCTTCCCGGCGGGGCTCTCCTCCCCGCCTCTCCCTTCCTCCTTCGCCGCTTCCCGCCCGGGCGCCGCCGCTACGCGAGAGCCGAGGAGGCGGAGCGGATCCGGGCCTAGTCGGGAGCCCCGGGGAGTTCGGGACGCGGGAGCGGCCCCCGGCGCCCCTCCCCGGGCGGGCGCGGGTCGGGGAGGCGTTGGGGCGCGGCGAGGGCAGGGGGCCACTGCCCTGCCCCTGCCCGGTCCCCTCCCCGGTTCCATTGTGTCTGGCCGGGACCGGGGTCCGGGGTTCCGGGTGAGGAGCCTGTCCCCGCCCGGCCCGGGTGAAGGAGAGACTTTGCCGGCGCTCCTCGCCCTCCTCCGCTCCCGGCTCCAGCAGCCCTCGGGTTCCAGGCAGTTTGCTCGGGGCGGGGTATCAGCCCCTTTCCCTTTCCCCGTCACCTCTCAGTGCGTCCCATGCTTTTGGAAAATGAGTTTCACTGGCTAGTTGGCGGAGGTTATATTTACCTCTGTTGAGAACATGGGAAACCGCTGAGCTTGGGGGACGTGGTGGGGGGTGGGGGTGGAGTACGGAAGTGCAACCTGTTCTCATTTCATAAAATTAGGAGAAACTTGCTACCTTTTGAACATATATTTTATTTGTTTGGGATGGGAGGAGTTACTGCTTTATAAGCCAGTTGAAGACCATTTGTGATTTTTAAAAAACAGTTTGTCAAGTTATTCCCCTTATTTGTTTGGAAAAAAAAATTGCCTTACAAGCTTGAAGCCGTGGTAGTCAAGTTCTCTCTTTACATTTTGGCAGTTCTATCTGACTCTGTTGAACTTCGTTTTTCAGAAGCGATGTTTGGCTTAATAGTTTGAGCATGAGTTAAGTTCCATTCAGGTTACTGTATGAATTGACAGTAAAAATGATATTGTCTTTTTGCTCGTGGGGAATATAAATGCCTCTCTGAGTAGGGTGTATGTGTGTGTCTGTGTTAAGGGAATGCCCCAGTGTCTTTATTTTTAGTTGATCTTATTTCTGCTGAATGACACTTACTAGTCTCAGCCTCCAACTTGGAAGAATTTTGGTGTCATGTATGGGCATGTGGCTTAGTTTGCCATTTATTCAGGATTTATGTTCTGCGGTAAGTTGTATAAAAATATAACATTTGTATTTGTAAGAAAACTTTGCCATAAAGTACAGGTTGTTTGGATTAATACTGCAGTGTTCAAAGATTCACCAGGGCTTCTAAACAGTTTCTAATTACTTAAATATTTTGATCGTTATAGACACTACTGCTAAGGTTTCCAGACTCTTGGCGTGCGATGAGTATTTTAAGTAATGAAATGTAATTCCCTGATTAAATACTCAGTGAGAGCATAGTTTCCAAGTCAGCAGCATCCTGTAGAATCCAAGCTCTTGATAATGTTCATCACCTGTTTAGGAATTGAGGCTTCCTATGGTTCATATGAGAGTTCAGCTTGGATTAGAGGAGCTTGGATTGGATTTGTCCTTTTGTTAATATTAAATTAGCTAGTTTTGGAATTTAGCCCTAACACCTAATTAGACCAGTAGTGACAAGATATCACTAAGTTTAAAACACTTTCTGTGGCTGAACTCTGATCATGTCAATAGAATTGTCTTGGTGTGTATGCACTTGTTAGTTTAGAAACGAAATCACTCTGCTTCCTAAAAAGTTAGGCCATAAAAATTTTTTAATTAAGATTTTCATTACAAATTGTGTTTCTTGATACCATTTTTTTGGCTAATGTTAGTTTTTTAGTTTGTGTAGCACAGCCCATTTCTAGAGTACTTTGTTAATTCTAGGGCAGGCTTAAATGATGGGAGATTGGAAATATTTTGTGTAAGAAAAATTGTTCAGTTAATCTACCTGACACATCCATAGAAATGTCAAAAGTAACTCCAAAACTAGACAATATTCCATTACCCCTGAAAATCTTTTTAAAAGTGTTCAAAGTTTTTGGGTTTTCTTATTTGTAAAATGACAGGATTGGATTTGATGAATTCTAAAGTTCCATTAGCTAAAAGTTTTGATTCCAGTGATTTTTATTAGATGTGTGAGAAGTGTGTAGAAGTGTTTGTAACCCACTAGATTTTTATAGATTCACAGCATCATAGAATTTTTAGACCTGAAATGGCTCCAGAGACCATCTAATTTATTCCTCTTCTCTTTTATAGAAGAAGAAATTGAAGATCAAGGAGATTTTGAGGTTCAGGTTTACAAAATTGTTACAGATTTGAAACTGTTTTCTCCTGGTTTCTCCTGGTTTATTATCTTCCCCCAGTATTTGTGGTACCTATAGTTTTTTAACTTACATGAAATCTAGAGAAATGATTGAAAATTGGATTTGAAATTAAATTATATTACTCATTTAAACAGAAAACCCATGTGTTAATATGTTAAATAAGAAAATTCAAATTAATAGATGACTAATGATAAGTACTATTTTTAATGGCTTTTTAAAAAAAGTGTGAACTTTGAAGTTTAAGATTGTATTTTCAAAAAACAGCAGAGTTTATAAATCCAGATGAATGTAGGCCTTTTTGAGCTTGTGTCTTTGGAACTTGTTTCACATTCTTTTGCATGTCTTCAAGTAAATTAAAGGATCTTAATTTACTTCTGTATTTATTAAACAGCTGCAGTGTGCCAGGTACTCTGTGTGTCTGTGTGTATATAAATGTGTATCTAAATGAATATATGTAGACATACACACCCTTCCCCCCGGCACACCCCTTGCTCTGGTGAGGGTTACATTTTAGTAGGCAGAGACAAATAATAATTTGTATATATTTTTCTTCACTATGTTAAAAAGTATTAAGTGCTGTGAGAGAAAAGCAGTGTTAGGGAGGAGAATTGGGAGTTCTGGGGCACAGTGGAAGTAGGGTGTTCTGCATCACTGATGAGGTGAATTACGAGCAGACTAGGAGACGAAGGGAATAAGCCACACAGACGTTAGTGGGGAGAGAGTTTGAGGAACAGTGAGACCAGTGTGGCCGAAGCAGTGTGTCTGTACCCAGAGGGGCATGTTGAGCACTGAAGCAGATGGGGTCTGAATGGTAAGGAGTGGATATGGGCATGGGTGGGCATTGTAAGGATATTGGGGTTTTTCCTTCAAGACAAATGGGAAGCCACTAAAGGATTCTGAGTGGTATAACAGATCTTGTTTCTGCTGTCCTGTGGCATCCTGTTACAGTATTATTATTGTTTTTAAAAGCAGTTTTTAAAGACAACAAAACCCTTACAGTTGTCTTTACCATGTACCTCCTATGTTCAGAGTTTTGAATTCTGTTTAAGGTGACTGTCCAATATTCAATGAAAACTAGTTGACCATTGAGTTTATCTGATCACCATAGTTAATAAAAACAAAACCTCTTTCATAGATTACTTTTGAATATGTTCTAGTAATTTGTAGGTTAATGGCTATATGTGGCAAACTGGGATTTTGAGGGGAAAGAAGGATATTAACATTTGTTGGGAATATACTGTCTGCTAGTCAATATACACCTGTTATTTTATTTAATTGCCACTCCAGTTTGTGAAATAGGTCTTGCTATCTCCTTTCAACATATCTGGAACTAGAGGTTTAGCAGTTCTAAATGATTTGACCAAGGTAAAGAGCTAGTATTCCGCAGAGCAGGGATTAGAAGCCTGGTTTCTGGTTAACACACTTGATCTACCCTGCAATTTTTTTAACCCAGCAAGCACCTTTTCAGTATAGCTGTGGAATTTTTTATTAGTTTCACTCTTATTTCTACTTAATAATATTGAATAGTGACCTAGTTGTTAACCATGTCAAATAAAAAAATCTGATATAAACGTTTAAGTAATTGAAAAATTAAAACTTATGGTAGATATAGTAAAAAAAAATTAAAGGTAAAATTAAAACTCATGGTAGTCATTTTTTTTGTTTTTGTTTTTAGAGTTTGAAAGAGCCCAACTCATTTGAGTCACATGGCTGTTTTGATGATGGCGTCATAGTTGGGTCAAGCATGATGAAAATCTGAGAAGGTCCCCTTGTAAATTTCAGTATGTGTTCAGGTTGTGGTAGTATTAGCCATGACATTTGATGAAGAGAAATAGTTCCAAATAGGATTCAGTTGCTTTGTGAACACAAACAAGCTCTTGAATAACCTGCTGACTATACACTTAAGGTGTATACCCTCTATCTAAGAAAAAGCAAAAACAAGAGAGAAAAATTGCCATTAAAGCATTTTTCATCACTTTCTGGAACCCATTTTATATGATTAGTACTAAGAGTGATTAGGCTGTTTCACATTGTAAAATTTAGAGAGATTTAAAGAGTTCTGAAGAATTCTGTTGCATTACACTTCTAACTCAGCACTGAACATAATGATGTTCTGCAACAGAGATAAGTTGCTGAAGTACGTGGCCCTTTCCTTTGTCAGGATATTTTCATTTCAGGAAATATTTAGAGTACTTACTTAGTAGTTATTCATAGGATTCTGATATTCCTGGGTTTTGGGTTTGAGTAGACACCAAATCTTAGAATTAAATTTCACTTCGTAAGAATCATTTATTCTCTTTATGAGACAAATACCACCTGACTGTTGAATGCTAGTCATTATTTTAAGTTCTTTTTGGAACCTTTAAAATCTCATTTCTTTGTCTTTTGTTTTGTTTTTCCTCAGTAATCTTATGAATTCGAGATTTCTTTAGAAAAGACTGTTTTTGAAAAGGAGAAGCAAGTTTAAGTTAGTTACTCTGGTTGTTAGAAGTTTAAGCACAAGGTTGGCTGAATCAGTTGAAGTATGATGTCTAGCACAAGTACTTTAAGGAGGTTATTTCTATCCTGCTACAAATAACCAGATTTAGCAAAAATAACTTTTTAATAGTCAAAATAGTCTTCTTTAAACCAAAATCAAA